TGGCCGGACGAGTGTCATGAAAAAATGCTTATTTCCCTGGGCTATATTACAAGATCCAACTTGTAAATACCATACATTTTGGAGACGGTTATCGCCGTATTCCCGTTCTCCTCCGCCAATCCCCCGGTCCAAGACATGCTCCTCCTCCAAACCTCTCGATTGTATCTTTCTTCTAATTCCTTCATTCCATGAGCGTCGAGGTCTACCTCTTTATCTTCTTAGTTTTTGGGGCCAACGGTCATCAGGCATTCTCAATACGTGTCCACACCCTTTTAAACCTCTTCTTTCCATTCTGACAATGGCTGTTTCTGTAGCATGCATGTTATCTCTTATTGATTCGTTGGCCTTCCTTTCCAGCCTTGATGTTCTAGCACTTCTCAAATATTCCATTTCACTGCCAACAATTTTCTCTTCAGGTCTGTATTAATTGTTAATACTTTACAGCCATAACAAAGAACTGATTCAACCATGGTTTGCCCTACTCTTTTTTTTGTTCCTTTTGGAAATATTGCGATCCTACCAAAAGGAGTTCAGACATCCTCCAATTTTATGTCCTCGATTAATTCGGTGTTCAATTTCGGTTTATTCCAAGCCGTTCTTATCAATGAGTGCACCTTAATATTCAAAATTTTTCCACTTGTTTGATTTCCTCTTCCTCGTTTATCAACACTTCAAACCTTGCATCTGAATTGATAACTAAATATTTTAAAATATACCTATATAAAAATGTTTCCCGTGATAAACGAGTTCAGTTATTAGTAATTTTATTTGATGCCGACAATATATCCTCGATATTTTAAATTCCACGAAACAATTCTGTCACTACTGTAAATTGACTTCGAACCGACAGGCCATAAATCACTGCCGGTCGGCAAATTCAATCGTCTCTTTGCACGTGCACATTTTAAAACTATAAATTTTTACTTATCTAAATTTTAGTTAGTTGAATTTGTAGTTTCATACTGTTCGCATCGTCACAGTATAGTGCTTTAAAAAGAATCAGTAGGTTCACTCTCGCATTTTCACGGTTCCAATTTGGAATCCACTCCTAGGACCCCGCCACACCGTGCGCAATGGATTTGGCGAAAAATGCCGCTGTTGCAAGATTTAAAATATTCTATCAGTTTCAAAGAATATTCCAAATTTATAATAAAATAATTATTATAGAAGTTCTTCAAAAAGAGGAAAGTAAATTTCATAAATGGTAAAATTCTTCACATACCCACTATACACACTTCTAAAGTTGAAAAATCATATTGCCGAATTGACTTAATCTATTCTCAAATAATTAATCATAAGTATCTATCCATTGATTGATTACATTTGGCAACATTGATTTTACCCAACCACGTGTTTGTGTTTATGCTGTAAAACTAGTTATTTCAGTAATTTATATATAAATTTCATTTATTTGTTCTTATATAGTTGGTTTTATAAGTTTATTTCGTATTTAATACATATTACTGTGATATTTCTCCAGTTTTCTAAGTGGTTTTATTATTTTATACAACGGATTATGATATGCAACTATATGTATAACAGGCCTCCTAACATCCAGTTTTGGTTTGATTCTTCATGCTTTAGTAAACAAAACTTAAATTTTAAACTTAAAAAACTTAAGCTATGTAAAAAACATAACTTTCTTGAACCTTTTAAAACAGAATATTAAATAGCTGAGAAGATTTATATTGCATGTTAGGATTCGATCAATTAATTTTGTACTCAGCCTGAGGCCTTCTTTAAGTCAATAAATCAAAATTTGTCTTTATGGAAATCTATTTTTATATATCATAGTGTATATCATATCATATCTTGTATGTCGCTATATGTTCATTAATATTGAAAATACTGCGTAGTGGCCTTGTTAATTTTTTCTATCTGAATATATTCGTTATATCCTCCCCTTTCATTTGCCATGTCGCATGTTAGGATTCAATCAGTTGTTTATTTCGTATTGAACCTGAGGCCTTCTTTAAGTCAAAAAATCAAAATTTGGGTTATGGTAAATCTATTTTTATTCATAGTACCCTATCATATCTCGTATGTCGCTATATGTTCATTATATTGAGTACTCGTGAAGATACTGTGTAGTGCCCTTTCATTTAACGTATCACACGCTCCAATGCCGAAATGTGATTTTTTTCTGTCTCAACAGCATTTTTACAGCTTTTACTTAATTATATTTAATTTTGGTAGATGTTGTTAGTTCAGGTTTCTTTCCTAGGTGGCGTAGATACCTTACTGAACAAACAGTGAGACTTGTCATCCTAGCCTTTTATATAAATAGATTCTCCCAATTTTAAATGTACGTAAAAATATGAGCTTGACTAACTACGTTATGAACGTAGTGATCCTACAGTGAGATCTTTATGCTATATGACATTTTTTCAGTTCGTTATTTTGTTATTAATAAGTTGTAATTGTGAATATATATATATATATATATATATATATATATATATATATATATATATATATATATATATATATATTCTATTCTAGCTTGTATTCATAGTTCGCTACTTGTGTTTTTTATAATCCTATTTTTATTATAACTGGTATTGTAAAATTCAAATCCTGAAAATATAATTTATAATTCGATTGTATTATTATTTTTTCATCTATAGAAATTAGTTTCCTCATTAGCTCTTCGTTTTATGAGATTTCTCACCAGTAACAGTGAATACAGCGTGATTTTCTAATGAATACAAAAAATTTAATATTCGATTAATCAAAACTGATGGATTCAACATAAAACATTTTGAAGGACAAACAGTAATAATTATTTGGAAACTATTGATAATTGTCGAAAACGCTAAATTTAGGAAAGTATTCATTATTCCGAAAATCTAATTAAATTTTAGGTCGCCACAAGTCACACTTTTCCTATTTATTTTCGAGCAGTGTATTAAAAATTATATTGAGCAGTGTATCAAAAACTGGAATTTATCTGCGCGAGGAGCATGTGCGCGTAAAAAAATGGAACATGAAGAACAAAGGATTGGCGGTAGAGTGAACCTACTGATTCTTTTTAAAGCACTATACTGTGGCATCGTTTCGTTTATCAGTGTGAATATAAACAGGGTTGTTTCACTTACTTGTGTACAAAAGTTGTAAAAATGGAAAAGTTTTTGAATTTAAATAAACAAGGTGGTTCTAAAAATAAAGTGGATGCCGCACAAACTAGTGGTAGAGTCGTGAAGAAACGAAAATACCGTAAATATGATGACAGCTATTTGGATTTTGGCTTTACATCAACAAACGTCAATGATGAAGAGAGACCACAATGTGTATTGTGCCTGAAACTTTTGGCTCCAGAATGCATGCTTCCAAGTAAGTTAAAACGCCACTTGGAAGCCAATCATCCAAACTTTGCTGACAAACCTCGTAGCTTTTTTACCAGGAAGTTAAATGATTTGAAGCAACAAAAAGGTAACTTTTCCAAGCATTTGTCGATACCTAAAAATGCTTTGCTGGCATCATACAAGGTTGCGTATAAAGTTGCAAAGTGTAAAAAGCCCCACACAATCGCAGAACAATTAATTCTACCGGCTGCTGTAGATTTGGTAAACATTATGATCGGAGAATCTGCGGGAAAACTTCTTTCATCGGTGCCTTTATCTAACAACAACATCAGTCGCAGAATTCAGCGTATGGCGGAGGATCTTAATGATTAAATAATTGAAAAAATAAAAGAAAGTGGATTTGCGTTACAGTTGGATGAGGCAACGGATTCTAGTAAAGATGCACACTTGATTTGTTCCATAAGGTTCTTAGATGATAATAACATTGTGGAGGATCTTCTGTTTTGTAAAAAAATCACTGCAAGTACAAAGGCGCAAGACTTGTTCGAGATCCTGAATACATTTGTGGTTGAAAACAATTTGGAGTGGACAAAGTGCATTGGTGTTTGCACTGATGGTGGTCGTTCAATGTCTGTCCGTTATGGAGGATTACAGGCGCTTGTTCGAAACAAAGCTCCGGATTCAGTATGGACCTATTGAATCATTCATAGAGAAGCGCTTGCATCAAAGAATCTGAGTCCTTCACTAAATTTGGTCTTAGAACGTGTGGTAACTGTGGTAAATTATATAAAAACTAGGCCGGTGAAAGCAAGATTTTTCAAAAAAATGTGTGAGGATATGGGTGCAGCACACACGTCTCTGTTATACTACTGCCACTCACGAAAATTGATCGGCCCTCCGTTCTGAATCTTCGTAGCTTGCTCTTCTTTCTCTGGTTCTTTTATCCATATATTTCTTGTATACTTCATTTCTTTTTTGTATGGTCTTTTTACACTCGTCATTAAACTATTCTCTTTTTGTGTGTTTCTTTTTTTGCCTTTGATCTTTCTTGCTGCATGATCTTCTTCGGTACCTAGACTGCCTGTATTTGTCAGTGTTTGTATTATTTGTGTCTCATAGTTCTGTTTGATATGTTGGTATCTCAATTTTTGTATATCTAGTTGTTTGTTCCGCACCGAGTCACAAGTTTTGGTTAACTATTTATCGAATTTTCACAAAACTCAAAGGAAGGCATTGATACTACCCTTACCTGGTACCATGTGTACTTCAGAGGCTCTTGTCGGTGATATATTTGTATTCAGCGACTCTAAAACCCCCCGAGTAACAAAATGTGACTTATTACGAATCAATTGCCCTAAAATCGCATGCAAACTCATCTTACTTTTCGGAAAATCAATAGTAAAGCTTATTTTTGAGCTTAACATCTTCTATTATTGGGAAAATGCAAACAAATTAAATTTATATTTGAATATTTTTATTATATATCACTATTTACAATTTTCCATAAAATTTTTCACATAAAACTCTGAAATATTTCAATAATCTCAATTTACACAAAATACTTAGTGGCACATTTTCTATAAACATTTTAAACAATTAATTTTAATCTAATACATGCTTCCAGTCTAGTTTCATGGCGCAAATCTCGTTTGTCAAATCAAAACGTTTAACATTGTAGTTTATAATTCAAAATGGATCCGCAACTGAAGTTAAAATGCGCCGAGAGATGAGCAGTACGGTAAGACATGAGAATTTACTGGTCGGTGTGATTTATTCTACTGATCACTACGGAAAAGAGTCGGGAAAAATACACAGTCATGTATCAATCTTACTTAATTTTTACATACAACCCTTACTTCATCTAAGGGGAAAATTCACTCATCTCAGATACCTACGGTATCAAAAGGATTGAACTCTGGTAGAGGTCTTTCCATGAGGAAAAACAAAACCAGCAATATGCACAGCGATCATAAAAAGCAGTCGATTTAATTCATTTAATTTAATAAAAACAATGAAAAGTGTAAAAAAAAACTTTTAGGCTTTACGTTAACATCAGATCGTTGAATTATATCAAAGAAATATTAGTGTCCCGAAAAGTGGTTGCCCAGGATTTTAATTATTACAATCTGCAACCAACAGACGGCAACGAGAGTCTAGTAATACTCTTACGCAAAAAAGGGGACAAATGTGATCTACAGAATTATAGACCTATATCGTTGCTCATTCAAGTATACAAACTATTTATGAGAATTATTAAAAACCGGTTAACCTACAAAATGGATAATTACCAACCGGTTGAACAGGCTGGCTTCCGCAAAGGATACAGTACATCAGACCATCTGCTGATAATGAGAACATTGATAGAGAAGGCAAATGAATACCAACTACCCGTATTTCTTTCCTTCGTCGACTATGAAAAGGCGTTTGATAGTATCGAGATGTGGGCCATAGAACAAGCTATTAATAATTGTAGAATAGACTCGAGATATAGGCAACTAATACATAATATATATGAAAATGCAACTATGATAGTACAACTAGACGAAAATACAAATCCCATCCCCATTAAGAGAGGAGTGAGACAAGGAGACGTAATATCGCCAAAGCTTTTCAACCTAGCCCTAGAAGACGTCTTCAAAACTACAAATTGGTCAACCTATGGCATTAACGTTAATGGCAAACATAGAAGACCCCAGACATATAACTATAAACGGCAGTGAGATAGAACAAATCCAGGAATATATCTACCTAGTCCAAATCCTGAGACTTGACAAAGAGAACCAAAGTGCGGAAATTACTAGAAGAGCAAGACTAGCATGGGCACAATACCCCAATACTTGAGGAGCAAAGTGTTCAACCAATGCATCCTTCCTATCATGACATATGGATGTCAAACCTGGACCCTAACCAAGGCAAACATGAATACACTAGCCACAACAGAAAGAACAATGGAAAGAGCAATGTTAGGTATACGACTGTCAGATAAAAAGAGGAACGACTGGGTAAGATCCAAAACAAAATTCGAGGACATAACAATAAAAATTGCAAAACTTAAATGGAGCTTCGCGGGCTACATTGCTAGACAGAAAGACCAACGTTGGAATACTACAATACAACATTGGAGACCTTACGAAAGTAAACGACCAAGAGGAAGACCACAGATGAGATTTGTTGATGACATTAAAAGAATAGCCAGAACAAATTGGAAATATGTTGCTCAGGATAGAGACCTATGTCCAAACATGGACGACAGAAGGCTAAGAAGAAGACAAGAAGAAGCAACCGACATGTGGCTCCGCATTTAGTTTACAAGAAACACATATTTACAAATCAAATTTTACCACGTACAATTAGTTTTGAACTGAAACTGTAAAATAATTATTAACAGAATAATATATTGATATAAGGTTGAATGGTCGAGTAAATGAGCTTTGAAAAATGAAATGCAAATATGGAGCACAATTTTAACAATTAAATCTTGCCCTATCTAATCTTTAAAGTGGCCAGCACCATCATGGTCCCTAAAAAAGGGAAAACCCTCACCAACCCTGAATCGTATAGACCAATTTCGCTACTGAGTACCCTAGGTAAAGTCTACGAGAGAATCTTCAAGGAGAGACTCGTAGAATTCCTAGACGCTCACTTCCTCATTCCCAATTACCAATTCGGATTCAGGGCTGGACACTCCACACAAAATGCATTGGTTGAAGCAACAACTTTCATTTCTCAATCCATTAACGAAAGGAAGCACGTCGTAGGCATTTTCCTCGATGTCCAGGAGTCTTTCGATCAGGTCTGACATGCAGGCTTGATCGAGAAACTCCACCTTGCTGGACTGCCAACACCTTTCGTTAAACTAATAAATTCCTATCTCTCTCACCGGACGGTTCGGATCAAAATAGGAGAACATCTCTCCACTCCATTCACTCCTCAAGCAGGAGTACCCCAAGGCTCAATACTTGCTCCAATATTATACACAGTTTACAACAGCGACATCCCCCGCCCACAGCAAGGATCAGAGTCTCTACTCCTATTCGCTGATGATAAAGCCATTCTCACCTCAGGTTCCTACAGGGAAGGAGAGCGACGGTCTGTATTCGAGAAATCGCAAGATTATCTTGATAGAGTCGGGAGGTGGTGCAACAAATGGAGGGTTACTTTAAACCCCTCCAAAACACAAGCAATTTTATTTAGACCTCCTTACGGACGCGGCCTCCAGGGCCGGGTGACACTTTTGGGAGAGGACCTTATTCTCAGGAACTCAGTTCTCTACTTGGGAGTTCGATTTACGAGAACTCTCAATTGGAAGGCTGACGTCTAAGATTCCCTTGACAGGATGAGAAAAAGGCTCGACCTCCTGAAAGTGTTGGCCGTTAAACTAGGAGGAACGTCCTCTAACACATTGTTGCACACTTACAAGACTTTCATCAGACCGATAATCGAATACAAGGCATGCGTTTACCTCTCCCTGAGGAATCACGAACTCAACGCCATCACTGCCACAGAGCGTAGAATACTACGCTTCTGCATGAGAAAAGATTGGCTGTATCCATCAGCCCACATATATGCAATAACCAACATCACGCCAATCAAGGACAGAATCCTAACCCTCAGTAGGAAGTATGTCTTAAGATCCATAGCTGGCTCGAACAACCGAGCAAAACAAACATTGAAGACACCTTGTTCACATAGAGGGCAAATACTCACCAGGCATCCCGCCAAAAAAGTTCCATTCCCTCCAGCTAAACTACTACATAACGCTGGACCTGAATTTCCTGAGGAGTATTTTGATATTTTATAATCTTTCCCCATCTATTATCGCAGATAAACTGCGCACCAAAAACGCTGATAAAGAGCCGTTCCTACTGTATGGCTGGTAACCCTGAAGTACCTCACACCGCATGATAGGCAAACCCACTTCTTCTTGTGCGTTCACGATTCTTATCGATCACAAAATAAGCCACCTTCTTTTTCCCTCCTTTCCTTAGTAGTTCTCTACTTCTTAGGCCGCGTTTCGTTCAGTTGACGTTTCTCTCGTACCCCCCACAACTCCGTCAAAAAAAAAGGAGTTCCCCATTCCCTGAAGAGGCGTAAGCTTAAACAAGGTTAAAACTCGAGGTTAGTTAAATCTTGCCCAAGTACTTTCGCTTACTAGAGTATCTTCAGGGACATTTCGTCAAATTAGGGCTATCCAGCAAACGTAGAATGTGATAAACATGAATTTTAACATAAAAGTGTACAAAACACTACACTAAAACAAGGACAAACAGTTTAAAATTAATTAAAATGGTTCTACGCTCTACATTCTTTGTCAGTAACAGGAGAGAGAATGATTCTCTCTCCATGATTCCATGGACCATGGTCTAGTTTTTGGATATTTCTCATTTAAAAAACTGATCTTTTGACTTCAATTTTAAACTGCATTCTCCATGATAGCTGCTGCCAACGACGTGCGTATGCGTACTGCATAGTTTTTGAAACAATCGTTGCCACATTTTTAAAAATCATTGTTTCCTGCGAAAATATAATTTCGAGTGCCATTCTAGGGGAATTATGAGCATATGTTTGTATTTTATATTTCATTGGGTATTAATTTGTTACATTAATTTCTAATTTTAGTTTTGATTGAATTAGGTTAAGTTAGATTAGATCGTTAGATTTAAATTCAACGTATTTACTCCGTAAAAACAAGTATATGTGGCAACATTGTACAAGTGCAAAATATTTTGTTTACTGTGCAAATTGCCGGGGATTTCTTTTACAAAATTGACCGCTACCAATGTAAACATTTACCAAATAATTAAATAATATACAATAATTTAAAATAATAAAAAACCTAAAAATTACGCATGTATATAGAATATGTGCATCATATAACAGGAAGTTTTCCATTTGTTCATATTTCTTAACATATACAACAGTACTATTAAATTCACTGTATATTAAAAAAATAAATCTGTACTTAATATAATAGAGACACTACAAGCTATCATCAGTCATGTCTAAGAATTGGGCACATGTTTCTCTCACGTACTCTCCCTTCAGATTGAACACAAACTTATAATAGCAGCCATCACCACATATAACTGAAATGACCAAGAAAAACCATAAGTAAACCTTTAATTTTAAATACAGTCAATTCTCGATATATTGAATTCGTCAGAACCAGGGAATTTTAGTAAAATTACTTTTTAAATAATTATTTTAATATAAAAATACGTTTAATTTGTTTTTTAAAATAACTGAGAATTCTAGATCGTTGCTTTTTTTGCTTACGTGAGATAATTGAGGAGCTTGCGTTCAAAAGGGGCTATATCTATTTTTTTTCCAAATTATGCTTTTTTTTGTGATTTTCGGCTAAGTTTGACAAGATCTATCTACTGACACGTTCATTAGCGTTCAATACGAGCTATTTATATTTTAAAATCGCATATAAAGTCGGCATTTTGCATTAAAAGTGGCTATATCCTATTTTTGCGATCAAAAGTGGCTATATCTAATAATTCGTTATATTCAGAAATATGACAAAATAGTGGTGCATCTGACAATACTGTAACGTGTAACGATACACTTGGCGAACTGGCGACCGCCACGCGTACAGGGTTGCCAGGTGAAAATGTTTGTCCTCCCTAAATTAAATATTAAAATATCCCTAGAAATCCCTAGTTTGGAATAAATGTAAATATGGTTGCCTAATTCTGAATAAAATGATGGAATGTATTGATAGTTGCCTAATATAATAACATGGATATAACAAAGGGTTGAGTTTACCAAAAGTACAAGCTGATTATAGCCGCAAATGTCAAACATGGAACAAAAAATTTCGGTATAGCAGTGTTGGCATGTTTTTATAATGTAGATGATGTATGCTTCAAATATAAAAATATAAAGCTTTAGAAAAGTACATTTTGTTTATATTATGTTATGCATTCTGTAATTTTTTATTTATATAAAACAACAATAAGTAAATATTTGTTTCTTTGGAGATTAATTGCAGTTAATTATTAGAAATTTTTTTAGCAATTATCCTTTGGTAGATTAGGGGATAGATTTGGCAATCGTCAAATCAGCAGTTGCCAGATTACAACAGATGTGTGCAATTTATTTCGAAAGAGACAAATATCTACCCGTTACTGCTTCATATAAATTAAAAATTGCAGAATTCATAAAATAGTATAAACAAAATGTACTTATTAAAAACTTTATCACTTTATATTTGAAGCATACAATAAATGCATTATAAAAACATGTCAACACTGCCAAGCCGAAATATTTTTGACATTTACGGCTAGATTCAGCTTGTACTTTCGGTAAACTCAACCAATTTAACAAAAACGGAATAACGTACTTATTTATGGCTTTGAATATTCCATTTAATATGTTATTAAGTATTATTCCCTTAATAAAATTAATACAAAATACAACTTGAAGAGAAACGAGACGGTGAAGCATAGAATTTTATTGTTATATTTCTACGAATCCTGGGATTCACCCGATTCCTACTGTAAATCCCCTAATTCCTAATCCAGAATTTGCTTCTCCTTTATGAAAATATATAGGAATCTATTTTTGGCAGAAATCTATTTGGTACAATAAAATTTAGATTCCAAGAACGTGGACAGTAAGCAACATCTGATAATAGAATCCTTAAGTAGTTTACTAGTAGTTTAATTATTTGTAATGAATGATCGCTTATTTAATACTGTTAATACGAAGTGGTTTTATACCTGAATTAAAGAAAATGCTATTATAATAGGCCTATGTAGGTAAATATTTGAACCGGTCAAAAATCCCTAGATTTTACAATAAACATAAATAAATCCCTTTATCCCTGTTATACTGAAATATCCCTAGATTCGGGATAAATCCCTAGACCTGGCAGCCTTGCAGTCGTTCGTTGAGTGACGATCAGTTATTCGCCAACTCTTGTGGGAGTAGTGCTGGTTTGCTTCCGGAAATATTGACGATTGACGACGATCCACGTGCAATATGGATGAAGAAATGATCACCGTAGAGCAGGGAAATAAAGGTTCAAGACGCCGCGCCGCATAAAAAATGTGACAAAACGCCAGGCTAAACAGTCATCAAGGTATGTAATAATGTAAATTATAATATACGATTTAGTTACTGGTTACCTCTTATATAAATAATAATTTTGTTTTTACACATTCGTTTTTCGATTGCTTGCTTTTAAGGGGTTTGGGAGGTGGTCCCACTGGCTATGTTAGTGTCGTTTGATATAAATATAATCTTTTTTACGCTAGTTTCTTTGTATTTTACAGATATGGTGATCCCGATCCAACACTGCTTCGATTCGAAAGGCGTTGCCAACATAATGGGAAATCATTTCAGTGTGCTACAGTTAGAAAACGGTACAGCTAAACCTTAGGCAGAAATTTTATGCAGATTCGATCAAAACTAACCAAGACGTTAGACTGTGCCATATGTTAACGGTCGATCCTATTGCTCGTCATAGATCGGTGACGTGAATGTCATCCCCTTGAAAAATCTTGGTGTCTCGTATTTTATTAAGAGCGACAACAAAGCAACGCGGGTGTGTCATGTGTGGGTCAAGTTTTTTCTTGCTGCACTGAGTATCTCCAAAAAAAGAGTTAATACTGTTGCGAAAGTCCTTTCAAGTGGTGTTCCGAAGAAAAATAGGAGCGTTGATCATAAATCTAAAAAAAGTGAAGATAAAAAAGAATGCGTTCGACATTTTCTCAAGAAACTAAAAGGACGCGAAAGTCATTATAATAAGAAAAAGTAAAAGAGAATATACTTATCTGCAAGTCTGTCAGTTTTATGTCTGTCTGTCGTATGTTCCGAAAGGTTTTTATACACGATTTTAACATTGTGTGTTCATCGCCCGCTTCGGATGTGTGTAGTAAATGTACGCGACTAAAACAACAGTACAAATTTGAGCCAAAAGCTGAAATTAGAAATCAGCTGCTACTGGAATACCGTGTACATACAAAACGTGCTGCTGTCTACTATGAGTTAGCCAAAGAAACTCCAGAAAATAATTTAAGTTTCTGCTTTGACCTTCAACAGGTACAGCATTTACCTCGGACGGCTATTGGCGATGCTTTTACTCGCATCAGATAAGTCCCTACGCTTTTTGTTGTGTCGCGCTGTCTTCGCGTAATCAAACTTTCTACGGTTATCGATGAATAACAATGTTTTTTTCTTTTTCTTGAAGAGTACTCCATCCGAAGACAACAGTCACTCCTTACACATAGGAATCGTCATGCAAGCTTTTGAATTCGCCGTATACTCCTTCGGCAAAGATCTGGCATTTTTAAAACACCTCGATTTCTTGAATCAATGACGAAAGGCACACGTTTATCTGGTCCTTTTATGTTTACAGTGGGTAAAACGGTTATTCTCTCCTTGCCACCATGACATTGGTTGTTTTTTAATTCCAATGTTTTATTTGACATACATAAGTTTTTTCCAGTCCTCGCAACCGGCCTCATTTTTTTTCATCTTTATAGAGGGAGTGGGGGTCTGGAATCTTCAAAAGATATCTCAGTCCAATACGCCGTCTGACTGACCTTAGTGCAGGATTCGTTTTTCGTACTCCCGGCAATAGTTCCTGAGGTACTTTAAAACACCCTCTCGTTGCCGAGTCTACGCCGAACGTATACCTACTAAACCAGACCCTCCACTGTCATCCAGCGATATGGAAGCGGAATGGCCGCTGTAAGGTTGGCATCACTTCCAAAGCACTATCAATTCATTTATCCACAGACTGTCAGCAAGAAGACTCCCTGTCCCTTTTTTTTATTAAAAAAAACTGTTTTGTTTTTTAAGGAAACCCTCCTAGTAAGGCATTAGCCAGCCGGGCATTTCCTACTTCCCCACAGCCTGGCTCACACAGATTAACTCACTTTTCTACCTTCAACTTGCAGCATCTTTCAACTTCAACTTACATCAGCGTTGTGTACACTAGTCCAGTTTCAATCATTCTCTCAATCATTTCTTTCCCTGTAAAAAAAATCACACCTGTCTCTCTTTCCATTCTGTTCCTTTTTACTATCCATCTGTTGCACTATAACATCGTATGTGTCACAGTTTCCAAGTGTTCGCAGTATAAGCTTTCATCTGTGTCAGCCTTTTCAAACTTAGAGAGGTAGACCCTAAAACACACGTGTCCTGTGAGCACCAGCGTTAGGAAATAATCTAGTCGCCTGTTACCACAGTCCACCCAATCTCTTATATTCGGGATCAGCATCTTTGTCCACTGTGCCACATCCTCCGTGTTGTTCAATTCTTCTTGCCATCTTACAATTGACTTTTCCCTTTCCTGCCTTCTATCGGCCATTGTAAGGTCTAGGTCTCTTCTCCCACACAGCTCTTTTCTTTCCACTGCCAACTCATAGAGCGGAACATATCCAGTAATGGTTCACAAGGCTGCCGCAGACACAGTCCTATAGGAACATGTCACTAGCAGCAGATTTGTTCTGTCCACTTGTGTAAGGTTTTCTTTCAAATTTGGATCTCCCAATGTTGGGTATCATCCTCCTCAACACAACCGCACTATTCGCAGCCTTCCGGACCATCCCCCGCATATGCTCCCCCATTTTCCATTCTGGTGCAACTCCGCAAATTGTAGTTCACACTTTTCCCGTTCCTTTGTTCCTTCAGAATGATGGCTTCGGTTTTCTCTGCCGCAAGATTCATTCTTTACTGTGTTATCCATTTCTTCACGACGCCGCCAACGTTCCGAACCCGGTATTTGAGATCTGCCTTATCTACACTCCCACTTTCTCCACATACCGACTTTACCCTAATGCCAAATCGTTTTTTTAATTTGTCAGCCACACACTGCTAGCCCAAACGTTTTTATAACCTGACTGCCATACTGCCTAGACTGCTATATAAGCTGACTGCCAAAAGTTAAGGCCTTCTCCTGGAGGAACGTTCCACTGATTGTAACGTTTTTTTCTTCGACATTCCTGAAACCATTTCAAAGGACATTTTTCGAGATGCGAGAACTCAGCAGATTTCGACCGAAATTTGTTGACGAAGTTGCCTTGGGTCGAATACCCCAAAATTATACCTTTACTTTTAAGTATGGTGGACA